CATTTGATGATTAATTGACACCAATTTAATTGCATTTAAATCAAACACTCTTTCATATGATTAGTCAAACAATATTAAGACATTTGTGTGGATCAGTTGATGGCAAACGACACAAAGTTTGGAGGCATTGTGTCCGATGTATTCATTTGTCGCGACGTTTGGACAAAATAGTGCTGAAGAACTCGAAGAATAAGAGTCAGTCATCACAAGACTGGTTGAGACGACAACTGAATGACCCATACGTGAAGAGAGCGCGATATGAGAACTATAGGGCCCGGAGTGTCTTCAAACTGGAGGAAATGGACCAAAAGCACAGTTTGTTGCACCCGGGCATGATTGTCGTGGACTGCGGGGCAGCTCCCGGTGCTTGGACTCAGTACATCGTATCCCGTCTACTACTGGACCCACTGAACCAACACACGACCGGTGCTGTCATAGGTGTGGACATACGGCCCATTCAGCCCATTGCCGGCGCTATACTGCTTCCCAACACAGACTTTACTAAACCTCTGAATCAGTCAAAGATATTGCATTCACTGAATGGTAAGTCCGTGGATGTGGTGCTGAGTGATATGGCGCCCAATGCCAGTGGACAGCATGACTTTGACTCGATGGCCATCCATGCGCTGTGTTATAGTGCCCTCCAGTTCGCAGTGACGGTCCTGAAGCCACTTTCGGGCACTTTTCTGACCAAAGTCTGGAACGGCTCGCAGACCAACGCCTTTAAGCGTGATTTGAGTGTATTTTTCAATGAAGTCAAACACTTGAGACCCGATACCTGTAGGGCTGACTCAACCGAGTCGTACATATTGTGCCGACATTTCAAAGGCATTCAACGCTAAATTAAGTCTCAATTGAAACACTTGTACAGTAAATGTATGATACCGTATGATATGGTACTGTAGACTTAAATTAGTTTATTATAATAATATTTACAAATTTCAATAATTGGCACGAATTGAGTTCATTACAGTGTTTCTAATATAAACATAAATACAATTTTATAGTCTATCTAATAATTATTAGCTAATGAAATGACAATAAAATAGGATTTTTAGCAAATGATAGTTTTTGTCAAAATGATGACTACATTATTAATAAAATAAACTCAGAAATGTTTCAATAGTTTCGACGGTCTATATATTGATATAGAGTTGTCATTAGTTCCGGCGGCCAGTTGTGCCTTTAAAATAGCAATCATTCATTATTTCATATCATCATTACTGTGACCGTAAATGCAATCAAAACATACTTTTATGGGATGAAAAGCAAGGCTACAGATGGGCCCCAATCTATTAGAAATGAAGCCGTCGTAGTGGCGAATAGTATTGCCGCACATGGCGTCAAATGTGTACAAATTGATGGACGGGTAGCCATTCGGCAGGTTTTGATTCCCTAAACCACTGATTGGGTGAACAAAATCATATAAATTAATGAAACCATAAAAGCAATTCTGTTGGCAATGAATACCAGGCAAAGACGTTGGCTTCCGAGTGGACACTCATTGCTGTCATTCCTAATCCAGTGCTGATTGACTTAATGGGATGAGTGGCGTTCCGTTTGTCAAACCATTTGATATCTCCAGTGAGACTGCCGCTGATGATGAGGAAGCGGTCTTCGTGTGGGTATATGTGTGCGTTCACTATCCACCCCTTGTGCTCGTAAAATGTATGGACACGACTGTCGTGAGGCATAAGTCGGTCGTCGAACACACGAACACTTCCATCACTACAACCCACACAAATCAGATGCGAACAGTCCGTTGAGATAGAGGTGACACAGGAGTCGGCGCCGGTATTCAAGTCTCTAATTTTCATTTCTTTGGTCGCATCCCAAAGACGGATAACTCGCGTCTCTCCCGACGCTATGAGTTTGTGTTCGCTTTGATTCCACGACAATATGACTCCACTCTTAGAACAGGGCTGCATATCATTGAATATATGGAAAGCCGTCACAAGTTTTGGTCTCTCAAACTTGTCATTAAGTGTGAAGTCTCTCCAAACCCTAACGGTTCCGTCATCACAAGCCGTCATAAGTTGGGTTAAGTCGTGAGTATTAATCAATTGAATGTTTGTTATTCTGGACGGCGAAGGGTTTAGGTTAGAGTGAGTGCCCAACAGCACTGGGTTTACGTTATTATTATAGTTGTTGTAATAATTGTGTTGCGAATCAAAACTCCAAACACTGAATGACTCCCTTTCCCCTACAATAAGTCTCTTTTCGAAGGGATGGAAAGCTAAATATTGCGGACAATTGGAGTTCTTTTGATGAAATATCTGTTCGTCGAGGTGTGAGGGGTCGACACTTAACAACTCATTTCTCGCACTTTCCTCTATATTTCGGTTTCGAGTTGTTTTCCATTCCTTCTCATAATGAGTATGACTTTCATCTTTTGATGAAATATCTGTTCGTCGAGGTGTGAGGGGTCGACACTTAACAACTCATTTCTCGCACTTTCCTCTATATTTCGGTTTCGAGTTGTTTTCCATTCCTTCTCATAATGAGTATGACTTTCAGAGTCCGTGCTTTCAGTGTAATTCATATTTGAAGCATAGGGTTGACTGAAGTGTTTGGTACACCACTCGATAAATGAAGTACTGATGAGCGGATAGCGCCGACAGATAGACGTCTCGTCGGTGTTTCCGTCTTGACTTTTGTCGGAAACACTGGGCTCTCGACCAAAGATATATCGTTTGGTGGTATACTTGTAGTGTTGCATATGAGGGAATGGGGAACTCATATTCATTCTGTTGGATGTGTTTAGACTTTCTCTGATGGGAGTAGTGTTTCGAGACGTGTGGCCGGCATTAGAAGTCGGAGATTCACTCATATATGACTGCAAATTATTAGGCGAATTGGGCTCAGATAAGGACTGCTCTGAATGCGACTCTTTGAGTGAGTCGTATGTCGTCGACGGCTGACATACACGAGCCTTCATCTCGTCGATCACTGTTTGAGCCATTGTTGCCACTTCTGGGAAGGGGTCGTTTGCATAGGCGGTGATGGCCTTCCATATGGTCGAGAAGACATTAGGGATGGCAGAGCCCGATATG